GCATAGGTGTATGCCTTTAGTGGTGTAAATCAAAGATTGTAATGAAAAGCTAAAGAAATATTTTATATTCTAACAATCTCAGGAATTTTGAAATTCATCATATCTAAAAACATTGTTTACCATTAATAATAGGGAAAACAATATTAAACACTCTCATAATTCAAACAAAAGGACATTTATTACAATAATAAGCTAATTCTCTGAAACAAGTAGCTACATTAATAACTTTTCTCCTGCTTTCATTTTGGTTAATGTATTAATCAATTATGAAAGTAAATTTTTTAGCAAATATACCATGACAACTTGGGTTGGCCTGCACTTCCAAACTTTAAAGAAGGATAAACTGCTAATCCTCATTTATGATGTGTTTCTGAGGTAAAATGCTGCCATCACTATGTGATTTCTCTTTCAATATAAAAGTTTTCTTTTATTCCAAGTTTTCTTGAACTTCCTCTCCGTAAGTAATCATGCACACAAATCAGGCTGGCACTTCCTAGGACTAAGACAGGAGAACTGGCCCAAGGTCACCTAGATGCCTTTATGAATAAGGTGAGAATAAAACTCACCATCTCCCCGTTTCCAGCCTGTTGTCTTAACCACTATATCAAACTGGGTTTCTCTCTTTCAACAATGCATTATGATATAGAATAACTTATACTTGCTACTTCAGTTTCTCTGAATCATGCTGGCATACAGCACAGCACAGCATAACACAGCACAGCACAGCACAACATCATAACCTGATGTTTTCCAGATTTGCTTGAAATCTGGATATAAGCATATTTGGATAATTACAGCCTGGGGAGACTACTAGATTGTAGGTCAGAGCTGAACTAACAAATTTGGATATTGACAGTTCTCTTTATTCTTAAAGTCTGACTGAACAATAAAAATGCCATCAAAATAAATTTCAGCAAATTATTTATTTAAATGTATTGTTCTGATGATTGGTAGGGTTGAGAAGATTTACCCTGTGTGCTCAAATGGTGTCTGCCCATAAAAATGGAAACTATTTTTCATATGGTTGCTTCTAGTATTTCTATTAGCTCCCTTCTTTTAAATTTATATTCAAGAATTATAACTCATGAATGCAAAATAGCATTTTAACAATGGTGGGTGCATTAGTGGAAAGATGGTGAGTTATACAAAGCCAAAAACATGTCATTTTTGGATAATCCTTATTATTATAATGGTGAAGTCTCCTTTAAAATGAGCTTGACTCTTAATCGTCCCATCATGAATATGAGACACGGGAATGGAAATTGTCTTCTACTCATTTCCAGTTCATCATACAGTATATGCAATTTCTGCTCACTTTGTCATGCTCCAGCTGAAATATATTTTCTGACTTCTGCTAGTTGCCTGCAATTACTGCAGGTTCGAATCTTACCAGGCTCAAGGTTGACTCAGCCTTCCATCCTTTCTAAGGTAGGTTAAATGAGGACCCAGTTTGTGGGGGCAATAAGCTGACTTTGTATGAATATACAAAAGTATGAAGGCTATTGCTTAATGCATTGTAAGTCGCCCTGAGTCTCCGGAGAAGGGCGGCATATAAATCAAATTAAAAAAAAAAAAAAGTGTGTTGCCATCTGTTTTGTCCGCTGTGTTTTAATTTACTCTTTAAAAAATCTTTGCATTTACACAGAGACTGGATACTGTCATCTGACCCCATTTTTTCTCAAAGTCTGTTGTAGATTGTTCTATTTTCTCAAGATCATAATAATTATAACACTCGTTTAATATGAAGAACACCAGAGTTCAAAACCTTGCAATAACTATTTGAGTTAGTAATATTTTTCTACCTTTAATTTATTTCATTTCATTTATTAAATTTTTATACCGCCCTTCTCCCGAAGGACTCAGGGTGGTGAACAGCCAAGATTAAAATACATACAATATGAAAATTAAAATAATTTAAAAATAATTAATAATTTATCTCCCTTCTTCCTCTTAAATTGCTTTAAAAAGCCCCACTGACATTCTTTAATTTTCCAGGAACTTGAGTTAGGATGGTTTCACTCCAGCTGAGCTATTTGGAAGCTAAGGATGAAATGATTTATCTGTGATTAGAAAAATGATAAAATTGTGATTTTCTTTTTTTTAAGTGAAAAAGTAGAATAATTTAAGGGAAAAACTGATACACTTGTGTGTGTTTGAAAGTTTATATATAAGTTAATATACATATAAGCTTTAACTTCTTTATATATAATTTCAGTTTCAATTATATTTAATAAAAGTTTTTGTTTTGATTAAGATCAAAATTGATTGGGAGGGAATAACAGGAAGGAATTGTCAAGTGGATATTATGTTGGGCTATTGTCCAGTTTGAATTCTTTATATAAACTGCAAAGGTATTTCAGATAGTATTTTTCCTTAATCTGATTTAAAGTTATGATGGCAGAAACACAAGACAGATTAAGGATGCAGTATGGATATGCTCATGTCTGTGAGCATATCCATATTGCATCCTTAACCTGTCTTGTGTTTCTGCCATCATAACTTTAAATCAGATTAAGGAACCATATAGGTTTCTTGACAAGAGGACTGAAGTGACTTGTCATTATATTCTTGGGACATTGTTTGGAATTTCTTCACCTACAGCACTAATATCTCCCGATAGTCATCCATACAACTACTTCTGACCCAATTCAGCTTTTTTAAAGGTGAACCAGTTATTGCCACCTAGCTGGCACTTTGTTTATATTAATGTCTCACCACACCTTATATATGATACAATTAACTGTTTTTAAAGGATTCACAAATATTTCTCAGTGTATTTGACATAGAAAAGAAAATTTAAACTTGAATTATTAATGTTGAGTGCATGTAACATTGTTATTTATTATTGTTAATTATTACATGTAATAATGTTTGATTTATTATCTAGATAATTTATAAAGGTTTCTGTTTCTAAGGCAAATTTGCAGACATGTTGGGTAAGTAGGGTTTTGATCCAACATATATGAGGATAGTAGTAGCCAATAAAGCACTTGCCCCATCAAATTGTCAGCAGCATATCACTTAACTTTTCAGTCTTCCATTCCCTCACTCAAATAATTGATTTTTCTTTTATTATCAGCCATTTCCTGAGCATGGGATATACACACATAAACACAAACATATTTCCATCTCACTTATCTTAGCATAGAATTTTCAAGAATAATTCTGATTCAGGATGGAACAATTGATTTCACATCGTTTATATAATGTAAAATATAGAATTATTTACCATGGAATTACATTATGTTTTATAGAGTGTTACTGTGCCAAATACAATTTAAGAGATCTTTCTAAGCAGGAGTGCAGTACACATGTCTAAATGAAAGGATGTGCATCATGTTAGCATTTAATAGTCCTGTTATGATTCTGTATTATTTGTTGCTGCAGCATTGAATGCCTTTCATTGCCTATCTCTGTGAAAATCAAAGCTTTTCTGGAACTCCTGTTGCTCCACTCCATGGGCATCATGCTACAGGACCATAAATGTTATACTGAAAATCATTCCCTTTCCCGATTACCAAATAAATAATTACGCAGTCTCCTCTGGGATTGGAGCCATTTGCTGATTGGTTCCATGTTTTATTGATTAGAGTGCTGTGATGAATTGGTCCCTGAAGAGGAGACGTCTGGCTGTAAGCAAATGGTTGTGAATGTGCAGAATTATAATAATCCGTTGCATTCAAGGGCCACCACATGATGAAAATTGGTACAGATAAAATTGGGAGAACAGATAAAAAGAAAATTCATAGAAAGCTCTTGCTCACATCATGTAAAGAAATTTATTGCTGACCTTGGGAAGGTATGAAAGAGCCATCAAAGGAAAAAAGTAAACTTATTAAGGAGGGACATGGAAAAGAGACTACAGGAAGGAAAAGTGAGAAAGAACTATCATCTTATTCCACCTTGATTTTGTTTAGTACAAGACAGGATTGAGAAAAACCTGGACAGACTTTCAAGATTCTGTAAATATATTTTAGGACAACATCCTAACATTTTTGGAATATCTTTGTGGTGTCTGTTTCTTGACCTGATCTACTTTGAAGAACTGACTCATTAAAATTGTCAAGGTAGGAAATAGGGGAAATAGATTATTTTTCCAACTCTATGTGATCTGAATCTAATTTGAGTTTCTGAATTTCACTGAGAGCAAAAAGTATTGTGAATTGTGCACAGAGACAATCATCGACACCAATTCTTTTAATAGACCATAAATACAAGATGCAGGATTCCCATTCATCTGCTTGCTTGGTTATTGGTTATGCTTTTCAAGAAATTAAACCATCTTGCAGACTAGGATTGCCTTTTAGTTGACATTTTTCAAGACAAGTATGAGATATGTTCAAGAACCCTTCTGCTTAGCTGCATTTTGATTTGGTAAAACTTTGAAAAGAACTTTTGCTGGCTATGAACTCTTTCAAAGGTTGTCTAATTTTTAGTGTGATGGAAAGGAAAAAAATATATACTTAATTTAATTCTGTTTTCATTAAATGCAACAGTCTAGTACATTACATCCAGGAGTGAAATCCAGCAGGTTCTAATAGGTTCTGGAGAACCGGTAGCGGAAATTTTGAGTAGTTCAGAGAACCGGCAAACACCACCTTTGACTGGCCCTAGAGTGGGGTGGGAATGGAGATTTTGGAATATCCTTCCCCCAGGAGTGGGGAGGGAATGGGGATTTTGCAGTATCCTTCCCCTGGAGTGGGGTGGGAATGGAGATTTTGCAGTATCCTTCCCATGCCATACCCACCAAGCCACGGCCACCAAGCCACACCATGCCCACCAAGCCACACCCACAGAACCAGTAGTAAAAAATTTTGGATTTCTCCACTGATTACATCCCTACCCAGTGCAGAATCCTCTCCAAAGACCATCATATTTCCTCAGATTGAGGAAAAAGGTAGTAATGAGAATGTTATTCCCATATAATCCATTTCATATATATTGCACCATATGTAATTTTTTGTTCTTTTTTTTTTTGTCTCCTTTTTCTCATGTCATAGGACCTGGTACAGGAATTGCAGGCAATGGATCAATGTGTCTGACCGTACCACTGTGGCTGTTGGCAGTGTCCCTGTTCTGCCTACTCAGTAAATGTTAATAACAGCTGAAATAAAAACCCAGAAACATCAAGAACAACACACAAAGCAAAAGAAAAAAAAATGTCATACAGGAGACAGAGCAAGAGAGAGTGGGGGGGAGGGAAAGGACAACTTCTTTCACAACTTTTGTGTGTGCTGCAACAAAGGGAAGAAATTTCAGTGAAAGAAGAATCAGCCACATTTATTCTAACAACTGTCAAGCCACTGACCATCCGGAAGTATTGAAGACAGATTATCACACAATGAAGGCTGAATTCTGCTAAGGATGCTGAGATGCTGTAAAAAGAAACAATGAAATTTCACTTTATTATCTCCATTCTCTCATATCATTTTCTCCTCTCTCTTTCCCTCTTATTTCCCTCCTTCCCTCCCTCCCTCCTTCAATGAAAGAAATGGCCTTTGCTTTGATGTTGATAGCCATACTCTTTTAATTGGCTTGGTAATTTCTTAAACTGATATTTAGCTTTTTCAGATACCTGTAAAGAATGATACAGAGTTCTCTAGCATACTGGTGTCCCATGAAGAAACTCCGCACAGCCCTTACCTCACTGTCTCTCCCTTAGGCTGTCCAATATATTTTGGGTATCTTAGCCCTCGATGCTTTGGGGATGATAAAATAGAGAAATTTTACTCATCTGCCCTCTTGTTCTTGCCGGTCTCCCTGTCTTCTTTTCTCTCTCTCTCTCTTTCCCTCTCTCTCTCTCCCCCTCTCCCTCTCTTTCTCCCACTCTCTCATGTATGTATGAGCGCATGTTTCTGTGTATGTATGTAGGCATCTCTCTCTCTCTCTCTCTCCCCTCTCTCCCTCCCCCCCCCTCTCAAAAGCATGCAAAGAAAACAGCCCCTGTGTACATAAACTCATCTCTGTAGATAATGGCTTGCATTGCACATGAGGATGACTGTTTCGCTTGGATGTGAATTCTGGGTGATAAGGAGATACACAATGGTTTTCACAAAAGAATTTGTTTTGACTTCTTCCTGCAATCCCAGTTTTAGAATCTAAAATTTAGAGCACATCCTTGGGTTTCTCCTGTTAAATCTGAATAGCAATCAAGTATAATCTGTATGTTACCCTCATTGCTCTTCAATTTTCCTTTGTCTACCTAGCCATAGATAGGGCCAAAGATTCTGAGCCTCAAGGAGTCTGTAGATTTAATTACCCTTGAGCATGTTCAATCTTGACTGAATGAGGATCACACAGGAACAATTGTAGCTATAAGAATCCATTGTCCAAATCCCCATTCCATTCACTGGAGAGAGAGGGAGTTGCAAGATCAGCAAAAGTGGTTCAGTCTATACCCTGTATCAACTAGATGCGGACTTAAAGAATTGATCAAAATAAATATGTAATGGGGTCCAGAATTTCCAGGAAGTTAGAGAAATATGGACAGGGTAGACAGCACATGTTAACATATATGTTACATAATAGTAGAACAGTATATATAAGGCCAGAGGTTCTGTCATGGGACAATGAGAAAAGATAATTAAGTTGCAATCATTGGTTGGAGAAGAGCAACAAAGTATATCACTTATAGGTTATATCTAATTGTACTTCAAGGATATATATATATATATATATTCCTATTTTGTCCAGCCCGTAAATTATATATATTATGGCTGTTTATTGTAAATCCTTGAAATTGATTCTGCAGTCATTTACTATCCTTTACTTGCATTAGAAGCCATCTTTTCTATGCTTGGACAGGGTCATATCAGGCAGTCCCTCTTGCTGAGGGATGGCTTTTGAGAATACCTGTCACAGAATGCGCAAAAGAAAAAGGCAAATCTCTGAATGGAAAAATAAATAATTTTTTGCCATAAAGATGTTTATCTTGCAACTGTTCTAATGGATTAACCTGTGGCTACAATTATTCTAATTAGGGATGTGTGAATCTCTAAAATTCTTGCCTTCTTAAAATCCAACTTTGTAAATTAATATTCCGGGCCAGCAATCTTTTTTCTACAGATTAAAAAAAAATCATAGGAAATTTTGTATGCATATTTGCAACATATCATAATATAGAGAGGCCTTATATGGATTTGCCCAAATTTATGTAATGAGTCAAAAACTTTTTTTAAAAATGTGAATCACTGTGTTTCTTTCCTTGAGAGCTAAATTCCCTAATGCAGAATTTTAAAATACAAAGTTTCTGGAGTAATCTCTTTAAACACCCTAATGCTGTGTATGTGTAACTTTAAGTATCTGTACTTTTTTTTTTTTTAGAATTTATGTAGGAAGGCAAAAGCTAGCAGAGCCTAGTTTTAATCCTACTATAAAGTGTGATGGGAATGGAACATTCAAATTCACTTTTCGAATTGATGTTGTGATGTTTTTCTCTCCCTTACACTGGTCCCTGTGCCTGGTCAATTTTCATAAGGAAGTTATTTTCTTCCTTTAATAAGGTAGTGGGAAAACCTGTCCCAACCTCAGGATGGTGAATTATACTCTACACCAACATACATAACCATCATACAACAACGAAGAATGCTTATAACTATGCTAAAGTAAATGTAATTTTGCAACAACAATAAAAAAAATTAACGTGCCAACATTTTGATTTTACATCCTTTAAGAAGCCAGAAAGATTTTAAAAGCCATCTCCTAAATCATGATAAGGTTAGTTTAAAAAGAAAATCATTGCTAGTTGAATAAGAATCTATTTATATGCTATTTACCTATTTTATAGGAACAGCCTTTTTATACTGTGGTTAACTTCAAGGATTCTTTTCTTTGTCAAGCCAAGTCTGTAAGGGTGGGGAATCTGTTCATTCCTGATGTGAGTTAGAAAGTTGTCTTTCAAGCCAGGCTTACCCTGGTTTGTCTCACTTATTACCTCACATTGGTTTGTTACTGAAAATTGTGTATACATCAGTAGTTGGTTCCACTTACCTTCGCTACCAGTTCAGAATTGGAAACGCGCACACGCATGGCACTTCTGCGCATGTGCAGAACCTTTTGCACATGCACAGAACATCCATCATGACGTCTGGGACAGTGGGCAGAGCCTCCCACGGCCGCCACTACCAGTTCACTGAAACCAGGGTGAACCGGTAGAAACACACCACTGGTACATATGGATTTAAACAAATCACATGCCTGTCATCTACTTTACAGAAAGAACAAGCTGAGTTAATTAAAGTTATATAATAGTCTTGACCCTATTTTTTTTTAAAGAAAGCAGGGAGGCAGCAACTTAAACCCTAACCGTTAACCTAATTCAGTGAGGAAATTAATTATATGCCAAATATCTAAAGATAAATGACTATAATCATGATTTATAATATCAAATCCAGAATTAATGTATCAGGCTTAATGCTAAGTACCCATTTGACTAGCTTCACAAGTGCAATTTGCTATGCAGTCCCAATTTGTTCATTAAAAATTATTAGATTTTCCTTTGGGCAACTGTTGGTTCTTTTCTAGGGCTTATCTATATGTAGCGAGAAGACACCCTAATATTTCTCATGGATATATTTTCACAATATAATCTCCATCTTATTCCAAGCTTGCTGCTGTGGCAGGTTAAAGGAAATCTAAGAGGTCCTGGCATGAAAGGTTCCAAAGGTTTTTGCTAGCATTACAGTGCAGGATCTTCTTTGCAGATAATTATACGAGGTGGCTGATCACCTCTGTTCCAGTTGATCCGGCAAGTCTGCGGGGCGGGGAGGGAGGATTACCCAATGCATCTGGTTGCTGGGCTCTGTATTTCCACGGGTTTTCAGCTAGAGCTGCTTCACTTGTTCACCCTATTTCTTTGGAGGCAGTTCACAGTGGGAAATATCAACCTCAGACTGAGTGCCCGATCTGCCATGAGTGCAATATTTGCATTGATAATATTGGTGCATGTTAGAAAAAGCAATTGCAGAATTTTTCTTCCAGGGTATTGGAAGACTTGCATAGCAAGGCTTGAAAAGTAAAGAATGGTTTATCTGTTTTTTAAATTGTGGGGGGGGTATATTTTTTTTAATTGTAGCCACAGGAATATAGAACTATTTTCCCTGATTTTCCGTTCTAGTAAGAAGAGAAGCTCCCTTTTCCAATGTGAGCCACCTTTTTTGCAACTAAAATAAAATACCTCTGAAACAATGAAATCCAAACTGAACTCCACACCACCATACAATAAGGACAGAAATTGGGCTTTCCTGCTACTGGGTGATGTTGGAATAGGAAGGAAAAAGACCTCTAGGAACCCAACTGCTCCACATTACATTCTGTGAGAGGAGCAATCTTATTGCTAAATTGCAGAAAAAGGGAAGCTGTGGGGGAAGCCCCTTTTATACATTCTTCCCATCCTTGATATGGAAGAAAAGCACCTGGTTTTTTGGGGGGGGGGGTTTATGCACTTAGGTTCTTCTTTTCTTTTAATGAACACTGACCCCATAAAGAGCTCCTGGTTCCATGCCAGTACTGCAGAGCAGTTGTTCTTTGATGAACAACACAGCAACTTCTCTTCCTTCTGTTTTAGCTATTCCTTTTTGCAGAGTTCTGCAATATGGAGATTACTCTTGCAATCAAGGAAGCAGACAGACAGATTTCCCAGTGCTATTTCTCAGAGCTTAGAATTTACTATTGGATAGTTAATATTCTATAAAAGCAGGAATTAGGGAAGGGAAGGGTGAAAGATATGGGCAAGAATGAGAGAGGAAAAAAGAGGGAACACAACATACAAACACACACACACACACACACAAACATTCCTTCTTAGAAGCTGCCTAACATTGTAGTAGCTATGCCTAACATTTGCAGTTGGATAATACACAAATGTATAAAAGAATCTTCTCCATACCAGAGGTGGGTTTCAGCAGGTTCTGACCAGTTCTGGAGAACCAGTAGCGGAAATTTTGAGTAGTTCAGAGAATTGGTAAATACCATCTCTGACTGGCCAAGTCCCCATCTATTCTCTGCCTCCTGAGTCCCAGCTGATCGGGAGGAAATGGGGATTTTGCAGTAACCTTCCCTTGGAGTGGGGAGGGAATGGAGATTTTATAGTATCCTTCCCCTGCCATGCCACCAAGCCATGCCCACGAATCTATGCCATGCCCACCAAGCCACACCCACAGAACCGATAGTAAAAAAATTTGAAACCCACCACTGCCCCATACCTCCTCCTATATAAAGAGTCTTGAAACAGCAAATAAGATGCTTTCTTGGCAATTTCAAGAATCTTGGTTTTTTGTTCAATAAGGCCATTAATGATCAACAACTTTTCAAATATCTTTGAAAATACTTTTCAAATATCTTTGAAAAAGCCTTTCTCACATGGATATCCACCAATTCTTCAGGAAGTATATTTACTAACATTCCCACTACTCATTAGCTATAGTATCTAGAATTCTGATATTTATCCCAGAACATCTAAGGGACCTATGTGCTGAGTTTCAAGGAAGCACCAATGTTTGAAAAGCATTTCTGTTATCACATTACCCGATCGATTGTTCAGCTGATTCAGCAGTCCACTAATTCTTCAGCTAGCATTTTCAAAGAGTTTTGGAATGTACATGTAGAAAGGTGATCAAGTAGAAAGACACTGAATTTGGGCTAAGCCTAACCAAGCCAGCAAGCATTCATTTTTCTGTGATTTGCAAACTCTTAAAAGTTTGTTCATTTGTGCCTTCTGCAGGATGCTAGAATAATTAGAGTAAGTATTTTCAGAGATATAATTAACTGTAGCAAGTGGGAATCTAGACCTAAAGGAGTTCTGACAGATTGATTGTGAAAGGGTGTAAAATTTCAGTTTATTCTCTTTTGTATAAAAACATACCAACATTTGCAATTTTTTTAATGAAAAGGAAGAAAGGAATTTCAAGACTGAAAATAAATTGAAGGTAGGGTAAAGAAATACTTCTTCCCAACAGCTCTTTGTTAAATTAAATATGCATATAAACTCCACAGTGGAAAAAACTAGGGGATGTAATTTTCAGTAGAAAAATGATGGACAGAGAAGAGAATTGCTAAGCAACTTCTGTGTCTCTTCTACAAGTAGCTTCTTTCCTGAAACTTCTTTTCCATACAATCAGAAGTATGTTATATACATGTGACTATTAAATATACTTCTACATGAGCTTACTTCAGAAATTTGCCAATATGTTCTGCTTCCAGAACATTTTTTAAGCTGAAACCCATAATTTTGAATAAAATATAGAGAAGTTTCAAGAAACAAGACAAAATTGGGAAATTGGAAAATTGGTAAATAAGAAACTCCTCCTACCCTTTTCTGATAACTTCTTCCCACCTTTCATCAGCAGCAAGGTGACTGCATTTATATTGTAATGGATTTTTAGGGAAGTACAGTACATGAAGGAAAAGCCATTGAAATTATGATTAAAAGCCCATATCTCTGTTTACCTTATGTGAGTTTCCCTTCATCCATTTGGGTTCCTTAGGAGATAATTTCCACTGGGGAAGGGAAAAAGAGGGCTTTGAACTTTTTAAGATTGATGGATTAAGCACTTTTCTCACTTTTCATTCTAATTAAACTGTTCTAATAGATGCCAATTTTTCACACACAGTTCCAATTCATGAAATAAAATTTTTCTTACAAATCTATATCCTTTTTTATTTTATCTTTTTGGGTGTGATGATAATAATGGAGAGAGCTTTCACAATGAGAGCTGGGAGAAAGAAAGAGAGTGAGTGAGTGAGAGAGAGAGAGAGAGAGAGAGAGAGAGAGAGAGAGAGAGAGATTAGCACTGAGGCCTGGCCTCTATTAACACCGTTACTACTTTTCCTGTTTATTTGTTCCTGGTAGAGGATTTGCTCCTTCAAATGCCATAAATGTGGCCTTTTGAGGAAGCCTTTATGTAATAAGGCCACAATTAATATTAGTATTTTTCAGGGTATGAGACTTTGTAATTGTATTGTGAAATATATTTCTATGAGGCCATTTTATTAATTTTAAACTGGAGGTAAAATTCAGTTGTTGAATTTTTTTCCAACTCAAAACTTAATTGTGTACATAGGCTTTCAGCTCTGTTTCCTATGGCTATGAACCTGTACTCTTACTAGGATGCGAATACAGCTGAATTAAATGTATCATATTTAAAAGCATAGATTGTATGTCCGTAACTGGCACTGTATTTACTTGAAAGGAGAGTAGATTTCCACCTCCACCAGCCAAATAATTTGTAATGACACAACATACATTAGCAGAGAAATTCAGACATATCAATTTTCTTTCTAATTTCCTTGGAGGTGGGACATCATCTTTAATTCAGAACTGTCTTCCTTTATGGTAAATAATAGTTGCTTAAAAATGAGAGATCCAGTAATATTCATTAGGATAATTACATATTCTGCAAATAAGTGCAGAAGCTTGACAGGGATCCCACTCTCTGCTCTTAATAAACTAAATAATACAATGCTAACTCATCCTGGCAGATAAATTGGCAATTTAAGGAAATCCAGAAGAAAGGGAAATATTTGTGGAAAAAAGAAAGAAATATAGGTAGGAAGATTTGAATGAACAAAAATGTGTTGTGATAAATTTGTTGCTTCAAGATTGACTAATTATCATAAGAGGCAAAGGTAAACTGCAAGAATCACAGTCAATCAAATATGGATGGTATATCATAACCACTAAGGTATCTCTAGAAATGTGTGGATGTATTGATTGCAAACAACACTAAGACTTGTTCCCATATGTGATCTGGGGCTGACAATGGTTTCTATAATAAATTATGCTCCTGTTCTGAGTAGTTGCATCTCCCATCATTTGGCAAATACTTGTAGAATGTGAGCATAGTCTTGCATTTAAACATTTGGAAAGGCATCAAGATCGTCTCCCTGTGTTGTCTCTGTTACTTGCCTTGTTTTTTGTCAATGCCATATTTGTCACTTAGCTTTACTGTGGTAGATCCATTTGAAAATGTTGGTCTGAATGCACTGGTTTACTATATTATTATTATTTAGTTTTCCTGATAAACATTGTACTATTGGCTGCATTTTCTCTCTTCTTTTTTTTTTTTTTAGCAAAAAGAAGACTAAACACTTATGCTTTTTAAAGTATACTTGTAAAATAACAAAATAGCAACAGGGTTTTCCTTAAGCAGAATAAGGTGAACTGAAACAAGTAGGGCAAAACTTCAGAATGAAGCAGAGGAATATAAATCATATTCCTAGATATTTTATTGCTGACTCATGACGAGACTTTAGTCAATATTTCTATTTAATGGCCAAGCTTCTCTCTGTGTAATGGGGATGTACACTGAGGCACTTTACAGGAAAAAAAATGCATGCAAATTACAGTTTTGTAAAGTTTTTAGCAATCTATTAATAAGATATCCATGGATGGTATTTGATTTGAAAGAATAATAATTATTCAGTTTTGGGCTATTCATTAGAGATTCAGATCCAGTCTTTGTGCTTCCTTGAAAGATTCTGTACACCCTTAGATTTTATTGGCTCCTTTTGCTTATTGTTGATGTCAAGAGGGTTTGGAGAGAGTCAAAAAGAGTGAGTAAATGTACAATGATACTTCAATGACACATTCGTGTGAAGATGTTTATATACTCTGTTTGCACTCTTCCTCTTTATGCTGCCCTGTCTCTCTTTTTCCCTGCACTGCTCTAAAAAGCTACAGCTTCTCACCATGTCTGGGTGGTGAATTCAGAAGAGGATATCAGTTTCTTGAGACTGTAGGTGTAATTGTGTTTGATTGATGGAAGTTTAACATTTAGTGTCATATAAGCAAAATACAAAAAAATGTATTTCTTCTACAAGTTTGTAAATATTATGAAAGTGAAATGAAGTGTCCAATTATGTCTGCATACACAAAAAAAGAAAAAGAAACTGAGATACAAAAAATATGTTACTTGTTAGCAAATGTCTAACAATCCCCATCCACCCTAAAAAATAAAGAATATATACTCTGTGGCTCAAGGCATGAGAAGAAACAGGTCTCTCTTCTCAGAGTATCCAGACAGTAGGGAAACTGTCATTTTGAACTATATAAACTAAAACCATCATCAGAGTATATCAGTTTGCATGTCTTACAGTGTGGCAAACATGCCTGTAAAGTACTAAGATGGTAGATCTGAGACTCATTGACATTCTGGCAGGGATTGATTGTTTTACAGTAACAAATGTTCAATTCTCAGATCTTAAATCAGAAAACTTCCCCTAACAAGATGAGGACATATTTCTTCCAACTGAACAGTGATATTTTTAAATCCAAGGATATAACCCTGATTGCAGAACAACTACTGGGAATTTAGTCAGTGGACAAGTGTTAAGATTTTCTACCTAACTATCCAAGCAAATTAATTTTATTTATAGAAGTGATGACAATAATTTTCATGTTTGGGATCACTTCAAAATTCTATACATAAAATTTGAGGTCACATCTATTTTCTTTTCCCAATTGATTAATGTGCATTTAATAAAGAGGGCAGAGATAGACTTAGCTGTCCTTTGCTTACTTTTGTTTATTCCTAAAAATGCTTCCATACATTGCAGACTGTAATTCCTTTGAACTTTTTTGGGAAGAGCCTATGTGAATGGAAAGGAAGCTACTCCTTCTATAGTAAAGCAAACTGCTGCATACATTTTAATGAGGGACAACTTTCAGAACATTTAAGGTTATAACAAAGAACAGTCAGATGTCCATGCTGAAGTATTCAGTACAGTAGCTATTTTCAGGATCTCTTTGGAGAGACAAATTTATTCATGTTTCAGAAAAGACAAAATATGTAAAAGAGATTTAACAGATTTTTTCCTAAAATATTCAATCTGAAAAGTACATCAGAGAATAAAATATCACACATGGATACATACATACATACATATACATACATACACACACACACACACACATATATATACATACACACACACAAATACACACACACTGATCAAAATGGTATGAGAGAAAGACATTTATGTTGTTTACAGAATGTAGTCTCTTTATGAGTATTTTTCATTCCTGTAATGAAAAAATTACATACTACAAAAAGTCTACCTTTTTGTGTTCTCTTAAGAAGCCAAGTTTATTAAGTCATAAAGTAATCCTTTGTCCTGAAATGCTTAGTTATTGCTGTGGATGTTGATCTTAACAAATAAAACAGAATCTCAAAAAAAAAAAAAATCTTCCGCTCTTTCTCCAGTTTTGAGAAATATTACCCAGTGCTGGAAGAGAAGATAAATCTCACATTACACATTAAATCTCAAAATAACTTAAGCCAGCTAAAAGCAAGGTTCCTTACCTATCAACTAACAGAGTTTAAAATGAAGTAACTGACAACATAGAATATATTTTCTTAATGTCATCAGCTGGTTGGTGTAATAAACTTCAAGTAATATGAAGAGATTCTTCACAAGTGAGCTAAAAATGTGTGTTTCTCTCTCCATTTGTGAATTTGGGTGGCATGACAGCTATTATCACAATGCAATTTTGAATTTAAATGATAGCTCCTGGAATTGCAATTAAATAAATCTCTGATGGAATTTTATGTATCATATTATTGCAATGTGTATAATGCCCTCTCACTGCATGCCAGGAACTAGATGTGCTTTCCCAAATTCTGGAGAAAGAGATAGATTTTTTAAAAAAATGTAAGTTAATAAAATATATGCAGAAGTTCAGTTTGAAGACATCATCAATTCATTGCAAAAATACAAAATACTGTTTTGTTCAATATCCCTACTTAAAGCTATTTAAGTGAGAATTAATTGATTTACATGTAGAAGTATATGTTTCTTTTCATTCCTAGTGTATCAATGTTGGAGCCAGTCTAAGCAATTTTCACTTCATTCCTACTGAAATTCATGAGTTTATGGCTATGGAAAAAAATGAATATACAGATAAATTAAATAATAAATGAAGAACCAATCTCATTGTTTCAGTGGATATAATGGCAACTACTTCAGCCTAGATTCAAACCTATACATAATATAACAATACTCAAGGAAAATCACATATCTGCCATGCATTAAACGGGCATCCAAAATAAAAATTATTTTCTTTCTCTAAAGTTCTTTCATGTGCTTTCCCATATCGATCTCTACCCATTTGAGAGACATTTTCAAAAATAAGGTGCCTATAAACTGCATCATATAGAACATTGCATGTTTCTTTTTTTAAAAAAAAAAAGTTGACCACACCCCAAATATATTCCTTTCTCCATCTTACTGATGACACATGCAGCCTACCATGCTTTAAAACAATTTTGTATAAGAATAATAAAGGTTTGTGGTTGGTGGTGAGGTTCTGCTGACAAGAAAAAGAGTTACGCAGAAGAGAAAGGGAGAGAAGCTTCCTGTTTCTCCAACTACAGCCATTCCTTCCCCCATCCCCATCCTCAGGTTTTTTGGAATATTATCCAGGCTCTTCTTCCTGCAGGGTGGTTAAAATTCTCCTCATTAATTTTTCAAAAACTAGTTCTGTGAAAGAAAAGTTTAAAACTCCAAGTGTGTCTTTGTACATGTGTGTGTGCATGTGTGTGCATGTATGCATCTGTGAAAACAGATACAGGGTTTTTTTAAATTTTATTTTCTTGGTCCATTCTATTTTTGTATCTTTACATCTGCTTCCTTTTTCTGGAGTCTGAAAAGGAAAAAAAATGCACACATACAAACAAAACCCCCACAAAAACAAAAATGAAATAAACATGGAAAGGAGTCGCTGAATCTTTATTTCTTGTGCTGTTTACATCCCTGGATAGCATCACAAAATGTAATGACAGACTGTTATGAAGGAGGATGGAGGGAGACTACATATTATTATCCATGATCTCTTTAAGTTCTATCTCTAAATTCACTCCTGTTTAAAAGAAGAAATAACAACCCCCTGCTAAAGGTAAAGGTAAAGGTTCCCCTCGCACATATGTGCTAGTCATTCCCTACTCTAGGGGGTGGTGCTCATCTCCGTTTCAAAGCCAAAGAGCCAGCACTGTCTGAAGACGTCTCTGTGGTCATGAGGCTGGCATGACTCAATGCCAAAGGCATACGGAACGCTGTTACCTTCCGACCCAAGGTGGTCCCTATTTTTCTACTTGCATTTTTACATGCTTTTTAACTGCAAGGTTGGCAGAAGCTGGGACAAGTAACAGGAGCTCACCCCGTTACTTGGCACTAGGGATTCGGACTGCTGAACTGCCGACCTTTCGACCGACAACTTCAGCATCTTAGCCACTGAGCCACCGTGTCCCTTCTGCTAATTATTATGAAGTTACAAAACAGAACAGGGCTTTGCAGATATTTGAAGGCCTGCCTTGAGTGAACTCACAGCCAATTCATGAAGCACCCTGGTCTTCTCGCTTGTAAAAGTGAATCAACAGTATTGTTTTGGTTCAATTGCTCAAACTATGTCAACTCTTGCAATAATTTGAAGATGGCTCTGAGCCTGTGGAGAAATTTCTCCTGGTGTTTTTTTTTTTTCTTTTCCAAATGATGTAACAGGCATAATGTATCAAGATGATATTATGACTTCTGTACCACAAGAAAAACCAAATTGCCATACTTGGATAAAACAAAATGACAATACTGGGATTAAAAATGAATGAGTTATATGAGACGGTTCTCTTCACAAAGTAAGCTACACCGGACACAGTATGACCCAAACATGCACATTCTACAGAACCATCATATTTGGCCCTATTACCCAATATACTTTGTATACTAGCAACAAGAAGCAAACTTCTAGCTCATCCAATCTTAGGGTCAAGAGGTATGTGCCATTCATCTATTATAATTTGTATAAAAGCGGTATAGCAGTATAATAATTGAATTTCTTTTATAAAAGAAATTGATATAAGTAGCTTGAAAAACCTTGAGAAATAGTAAGTCTATATACAGGTATTCCTCAACTTATGACCAGTCACTTAAAAGCCATTCAAAGTTATGACAGACCTTCCCATGGCTACTTATGACTGGTTTTCAAAGTTACAATGGCTGTACATATCCCGTGGTCACATGATCATATTTTGGGTGCTTGGTTACCAGCTCACACCAGTCACATGACCATGATTTGTAGCATTTTTTGCCAATTTCTAACATTTATTTCCATTTACTGGCAGAAACTGCCCATTGGGGAAAAATGGATTTATTTAAGGACTGCAACATTTGCTTAATGATCACGGTGTTCCCTTAATGACTGCAGTGTTGGCTTAACAACCATTACAGGAAATGTCAAAAAATGGATCCTTTATGTCAGTGATGGCAAACCTTTTAGGCACCAAATTCCCAAAGTGCGCATGTGTGCCCAAACTGCAAGATGTAAGCGCATGCGTGCACGCATCCCGTGCATGTGCGCACACTCTGCATGTGCTCCTGCGCCCTGCTCAAACTGCAAGGCGCGGGTGCATGCATGCCCCATCCATGCATGGCAGATACCTGAAGACCAGCTGGCCAGCGGGAGGTGTGCACACATGCATGGCAGAGACCCAAAACAGAGCTGGGGCAAAGGTGTGCATTCCCACAGAAAGGGCTCTGTGTGCCACTTCTGTCATGCATGCCATAGGTTCGCCACCACTGCTTTATGTGATGCTTTGACTTACAATTGTAACAATTTACAACTGTAATGCTGGGTTTTGTAAGTCAAGGATTATCTGTAAGTGAAATAAAACTATTTGATGCAAGTATAGATATAAGGACTGGGGAAAATCTGTATTTAAGTCAATTAAAACTCCTGCCTTAATGACTCAGGGACATTTTCTGCTTCTTATTCATGTCCTTTCCTTATGTCCTTCTTTGTCATTCCAGTTTTTATCTTTTGCTTCCTTTTATACTTTCTTTCTTTAACTTCTAGC